GGGTAGACGTGCGGCGTGCTAAACTGACGCGCAATAGTCAAGAATGACCGGTATGTGACCGGCCTGACGCCGGTCACGTCTGACTGGACGGACAACCGTGCTCCCACGTCGCATCTGCTTCCGGCGGAGTGGAGGTAGGTATGACCCGTCCCATTGGAGGGTCATTCGGACGGCGGCCACCACAAGTCTTCACCTATTAATGAGGGAATGACAGGGCTGTCCCCTGTGTCAGGCGAGGGACGGCGCTGGGTCCTACTCAAGGGCAAGCTGTGGTTTAGCTTCAAGGCGAAGGCACGGGTTGAGTTCCGGTCAAGATAGGGTGGGTCCCCACCCGAAAGAAGAGTAGGTAGAGGCGGTGCATGTGGTATCCCCTTGAGATATAAAAGGAGGATCTTGCCCACCGAGAAAGGGGACGACTCTCAGTGAACTAGAGCTCTAGGAGAAGAGTGTTCTCCCGAGTTTAGGAACCCTTGTAACTCTCAGTCTAAATCCCATACACAGGAGTAGGGTGTTACGCTTCATAGCGGCCCGAACCTGTATAATTTGGTTGTGTGCGAGCTAACTAGGAGCCTTAGGGACGGATACGTGATTTCTAGAGGCGAGCTTCTTCCCTCGGCCGAACTCACGAAAGGGGGGGTCTCATGACCTCCCGCTAGAGAGGATCATCCCTCGACAATGTTGTACATCAACAAGTTGGATCCAATAAACGGCATACTTAGGAAGTTTTCCACATCACCCAATAAATATATGAAGTAATCACAACATTATCATTTCTCATTTTTTTGGAATATGTTCTAGCAATGAATTCAAACCAAAAGGTATATTGCCAATCTGAAATCACACCTAACAAATGGATAAAAGCTTACATTCACCCACTTTCCCTAGTTCCCCTTTTTTTCTTTGGCAATTTCTCATTGTGAATTAGTCAAAAAGCAGCACCCAAATGATATAATCACTTCTATGAAATTTTATTTTCAAATAAGACAAATGTGCAAATAAACACAAAATTGTTTTCATGTTCAAAGAACTTTTCTTTATCATCTTCCATTATAAAGACGATGTCATCAACATACTGTAGAATTGAGACCCTATAGCATTCAGCAAAATGTGACACCCTTCCTTTGATCAAACCTTTTCAATTGTTTGGTTAATAAGCAAAGTCAATGCAACATCCCCCGCTATGTTAAAAGGGAGTGGAGCAATATATATTCTTGCCTTAAAACCTTGTAAGACACATGCTTATAAGTTCATTAAGCATAGTTGCAACACAACCTCCCCTTACCACCTTAAAAATCGAACCACACCATTTATCTATCTCCAAAACATTTTTGGCCATAAATTTGTTATACAAAAGAACCATCTCGCATTTCGTCACATACTTTCTCAAAGTTTACCTTAAAAAGCACCCATACATTTTTTCCCATATGAACTTCTTGAATTATTTCATGTAAACTTAATATCCCTTTCCATTATGAACCAATATTTCAAGAATGCAACTTGACTATTGAACTCAACCTTTTGGATCACTCTAACCAACCTACTTATCACCCCTTTGGTGAGAATTTTATAACTCATCACGTCGAGTACACAAATAGGCCTAAATTTCTATATGGTCAAAGTATCAATGTATCAAGGTTATACATAGTTTAATCTCTCTATATCTAAAACCGCATTGTAAAAACCCTCAAAAACTTTCAGAAGATCCTATGTGATCACTTCCTAGAAGAATTGGTAAAATATTTGTAGGAAGCTATTAGGACCATGGGCGGCCTTATTCTTTCTCTTCTAAATAAAACATGTGGTTTAATTTCTTCCAATGAAAAAGGTCCATTCAGAGATTTCGGATTCAGTTCATCCATTTATATATTCCTAATATATTAGTGTCACTGTGGGGCCAAACAATTTTTTATATAAAAGAAGATGTCACATGTTCCATCAATTCCTTCTCATCTTCTATCATCTTGAAGATTTTATTATATCCAAAGTGATTGCACGGTTTAGAATAACGTCACTAAGTTTGTATTTAATAATTGTAGCTCCCGGAGCTACCATGCTCCTCTTCATCTGGTATTCTGTTCATAATTGTGGCCTTTAACAAGCCTTAGTTTGTACTCCTTTCTATATCTCTTATAAATAAAAGAGGAAGATCTCCTGCTCCCTTTTTTATATAAAAAGGAATATATATATATATATATATATATATATATATATATATATATATTATACAATAGGCCAACCAAATGAAGTTCTTTCGAACCATGTGTTTCAACTTTCAACAATGGAATTGAAACCAAAGCTCCAAGAGTTCCTGAGATTTTCTGAAAAAAAAACAGGTGTTATATTGAGCAAATGAAAAGAAAGAAGTTTCAGATTGTTTAGTGAGCAACGAAGTCCAAAATCACAAGGTTAGCACATGATGTCGGTTACCATTTAATTTGCTTCTCTATAAATTGTGTTGTCCAAACTAAAATCGTTGTTGTGTTCTGGTTAGTTGTGAATTTCTTTTGAGGTGATAAATAGGAAGAAATGTGTACGACGTTCTCTTGTGTTAAGCAAACTCAGCAGAGCTTCAGTGTGTACTAGTAGTAGTATAGTATAGCAAAAGAAGTGACGAATTAATTGTCTTTAGAATAAAATGTTCTTGCTACATTGCACAAGTAATTCTCAAAAAAATACATTGCACAAGTGAATTATTTAACGGTGACAGCACGTGTTGACATAAAATAAAACTGAAGAGAGAAATAATTAAAATACGTACTCGATCCACTTTTATAAGAAAAGAGAAAACGTTGTCCTCAAGACCTGTGTGTGCCATGTGAAGCAAGGCGATAAAAGGCATGAAGAGAATCAGGGGTGGTGAAGAAGGATGGGAGAATATGGAGCAAGCCAGCCAGGTGAAGCTGAAGCTGCAAGGGCCAAGGGCTAGGCTACGAGGAAGGATGGAAGATGAGAAGAAAAAAAAAGAGGCACTACTGTACATGTGGGGGTAGGAAATCAAAAGGATTCAGCTCAAGCCACACAAGAGGAAAGCAAAAAAGGAAGATGCAAAGCAGTGCACATATATAAAAAGCACTGCTCCTCAGCCACACCAAGCAAAGGATAGGAGAAAGCTAACCTAGATGATGCCCGCAGAATCTGATGGCACGCTCTCTGCCTCTTCCATCGCTCACTCCAAGCTTCTTTCTACTCGATCGATCTTGCTACATAGACTGCTTCCACCAAGTGGCATTCAACTGGCCAGGAGTACTCACTACAGTTAATTTGTTCCTTAATTAGCTACTACAGTAACTCTTAAATACGTACACTATTAATTACTATAATACTGTATATAGGGGTAACATATCCTATGCACACAGGCCCTCACGTGTACACACGTGCACATCAACTTAAAAAATGTCACCAAAAAATCTAGAAAAAATCATACACATACTTTCAATTGTATTATACCTAGGGTTAAAATCTTAACATCAAATTCATTATATTTTAGCCGTAACAAAAAAAACGAAAAATCTGACAGTTTGGTTGCAATTTTGTCAGAATTTTTTCTTTTTTCTTATTCTCTATGTAGAATGAATTTGAAGATGCGATTTTGCACGTAGATGTAATACTATTGAAAGTACATGTATGAATTTTCCTAGAATTTTTTGTGATAATTTTTAGTTGGTGTACACGGTGTGTACACGCGAGGGCCTGTGTGCATAGGATACGCTCCCGTATATATAGGAGTACTTACCCTTCTTAATTAACTTTGTTCATTTTGATAAACAAAAAAGAGGAAGTATATATTTTAGCTTGCTCTCTAAATTATAAACACACGTACGGCGGTACTTTAATTAATTTGTGCGTTGTTGTTAGCTTGTCGATCGTCAGTGCTTCTGGCCAAGAGTGTTCCAAATTAACCGACCGATCAACAAATGATGGATAAAGATAGCAGATATCATCATCATCATCATTCATGTATGAGTATGACCGGGCCATTCAGTTCATAGGAGATAAGCTAGCATTCTTACTTGCGCTGGGCCGGGCGCGTCAGCAGCTGACTGCTTTAGTTGGCTAGCTCTTGTGCGTCTTGCAATGGATTTGCTTTACTACTGGACTACTAGAGGAGAGGATGAACTTCGAGTGTGCTGTGCTGTGCTGTGGTGATAGATAGCATACATGCATATGCAGCATATGGACATATGGTGGGGGTACTCCGAATATATTTCTGGATTGTGGTTGGTTCTTTTGCTACTGCTTGCCTTTTCTGACTCGCTCTCTCTCTCTCTCTCTATATATATATATATATATATATATATGGAGTATATAGCTTTTTTTTCCTACTAGTGAGAGAGAGAGAGAGAAGCCATTATTATTTTTCCCGGAAGAACAAGAGGAAACGAATAAAAAGGAAATCTACATCAATAAAGCTAATTCACAGTTCCTTGTGCTATACAAACGTACAGTAGATTATTGATTAGCAACAGATTCTCACTGGATTATATCGTGAAAATTAGAAATATGTACTGCTGGTGGTTCTGTGTTTCCTCTGTTTGAGCTGACAATACGTCTGCTATACTACACGGGGTTAGTTTCTTATAATCTCTGAATAGTAGTATGTCAACTGTAGTTTTTGTTTTCCTTTCTAGAGATTATTTTCCTGTTTACGACACATAAATAAAGTTAATAATTTGCGGGGGGCGATAATAATTGAATTAATTAAATAAATAGAATAATTATGCTTGGAGTGTTTTGAGGAGAAATGATACTAGGGATTTGGAGAAGAGAATGAGATTCTTTGTTTGGACGGGTGGCCCAGCATTGACGGGAGATGGGCCGGATAGGCCCAGAAAAAGAGCCCAAAGAAAGAAGGAGGTGGACACGTGGGAGATCTGCGCGGATCTCGGGGAGCGCAAGGGAGCGCGCGGCTTTTGATTTCGTGGGATCTCAGGGGCGGGCCCACCAGCGGCGCTCCCCACTTCCATTTGTTCCACGTCACCGCCCTCCCCAATATCTAGTAGCAGTAGCAGCGGAGGGAGCGGCACACGATACGCGCCGCGCGGATCCCCTCCCTTCCCTCCTCTTCTTCCTCCGCCTTCGCCGCCGCCGCCGCCGCCGCCGATTACTCGCTTCCGCCTCCGCCTCAACCCCGTTCGTCCCCAACCAACCAACCGCAGGTAACTTCCCCTCTGGATCTTCCACAGTATGTATTCGTCGATTCATTTCATTTTCATCCGGGTTCATCAGTCCAATCCAAGCGAATACTAAGCTCACTTGAATTCGGTTGGTGCCTCGTCGTCATTCTGCCACCACTTGAGAGTTCCTTCATACACACACCACTCGCAGTCTCAGCAGCAGCAGCAGCAGCGCAGGTAATTTCACTTTACAGTTTCTTCTACTACTATCATAGTCCTAGTCCTAGTACTATACTACTATAATACTATGTGTCTGATGCAACTCTCTCTAGTCCGTAGCAAAGCTGCTGTTATCTTCCTACGTACGTAAGCTGGATCATATCCTTCTCTTTTTTTTTCTCTATCTCTATTCTTTCTCATTTGTGAGATTGATTTGCACAACTGCACAAGCACAGATGCGGATGCAGCCCAGCTAGCTAAGCTAGGTTAGCTGCTGCTGTTGGTCTTGGAGGCAAACTAGTGTAATATGTGCCGTACCGCCTGCCTTTCTTCATCAACCAAACCCCTGCCACCACTCAACCCGGCCAACCTCTTCGAGTCAGGCTGATGATGGGAACCGCTCATCACAACCAAACCGCCGGCTCTGCCCTCGGAGTCGGAGTCGGAGATGCCAACGACGCCGTGCCTGGGGCTGGGGGTGGGGGCTACAGCGACCCGGATGGCGGACCAATCTCCGGTGTGCAGCGGCCACCGCAGGTCTGCTGGGAGCGCTTCATCCAGAAGAAGACTATCAAAGTCTTGCTAGTTGATAGCGATGACTCCACCAGGCAGGTGGTCAGTGCCCTGCTTCGTCACTGCATGTATGAAGGTCTGTCTCTTCTTTCCTCCTTCTACCTTCTCACTTCTGTCTATTTATTTATATGTTTGCCTTTTTCACAACATATTTTCCTATTATTACTTACTATCTGACTCTCAAACTGTTAATTTTTCTGCTCCTCATCTCTGTTTAATCACACGTACCGCCTCTGCTTTACAATTTGCTGTAGTGATTTTATCCGGAAACTATCTTCTTAAGGATTGTACCAAACACATTTTTCACCACAAATTAGACGATTGTCAAGTTCAGAACAAGATTTTGAACACCTACATCACAAGGACGATAAGCAAGCAACAAGATCATTTGGTACATAAATCTGTTGAATACTTTGTTTTGAAACATAAAGTATGCTGTTCCAAAGTCTTGTTTGAGAGACTGACTTGAACCCTGCAAAATCCATGCACACTTTGTCATGCTAGCCGCTAAAGCCAAATTTAAACTAGGCCTGATTAGGTCAACTGGAAACTCCTTCTGATTTTTTTTTGTTGAAAAAAGGGGTGCAGATTGTGGTACTGATAATCATCTCAAGGTCCTCCTTTTTTTTTCTACTGAAATCATGTCAAGGTCCTTGAACGGACACGTTACCAAATCAATTTGTTGAAGAAGGGAGAGATAACTTTTTAATCCAAGATTAATCTCCACGTTGTATGAGAGGCCACCTTGAATTGATGGTTTCTAATGATTTTGGGTTTTCTTTTTTATTTCAATACTTGTATGAATTTCTAGTGCCAATATTTTGGACCAATGCTCTTGTATTCCTTATCTTTAATTTGGATGCAACTTTTCCATTGGATACATCAAACGAGAATGAAGTCATAGGGATAGTTTGTTGTTGTTGTGTTGTGTTGGATACCTCCTTTTGGCACCCAGTTCACCTTCTTCTTGTAAGCCAATGGGTACCACCTAGAATCTCCAGCCATCTGTGGACAGCACTATATATTGCAGGCTTGTTTTCTTCAAAGTATTTTTATGCCTTCCCTGTCTTCGTATCATATTGATGTATGATTTTGGACTGGAAAATGATTTGATTCTATTTCGATCGCTAGCCTACTGTTAGGTTTGTCCTATTCTGCTGCTTTGGTGTGGTTGCTTCAGCTCATGAAGGGGGTTGCTGCGGATGGGCACATCAAAACCATTTCTTTTTCATTCCATTGGTAGCATCACTTCTGGGGAGCGACCATCAAATGCTACGTAGACAACCATACCTTGTCCTTCTCCCTTGGTTGTTGGCCATGGGAGAATTGTTTTCATTGCCTAAGCCAGAGGGTCCTTTTCATCGCATGTTGGAAAGTCCAGCTATGCAGTAGCCCGAAACTCCTCTTCTGCCACCCAACATTGCCTCCCTACAGGTGACATGTGCCAAATGGCGACGGCAGCAAGACTAGACCACCCAGCTTGGCGATAGGAATTGGAGGTTGTCGGCCTCTTCTTGTATGTGGGGTGGCAGATTTACTGCCACCACCATTAGAGTCTGTTTAAAAGAGTATATATACTTGGACATCAAAAAGCACATGCTAGATTACATGAAAGTAGGAAAAGTCTAGGTAGCTCAATGAAGGTTTTGTTATAACATGGTCAAGTAAGGGTGTAGGGCCTGATTACAGGGCACTCCCAATTTGATTGATGAGTACTTCTACAGTGCTCTCTGAATACTACAAGTATTGTTACCAATAGAAGCGATAGAAGTCAGTGATTTATGAGTTCTACTACCACTAGAAAAAAAATTTCTGCTACCAGTAGTTGAGGTGGTAGCATAAATAGATATGGCCCATTGGATGAGAAAAGATGACAGGACTAGATTGATTTTACTACCAGTAAAAACCACCGAATAAAGTTTCTAACTATTCTTTCCTCACACTATTGAGAAGAAGGCACTTCCATTAAAAAGGAAAACATTTTCGATATCAAGGCATCAATTTGTTTTTCATTAAAAAGGAAACTGAATGAGGGGATAAAAACCTTCCGTTGGGCTTTGCATGCGAATAGTCTAATAAATACTCCCTCTGTTTTCTTTTATTTGACACCTTTGACTCCACACACAAAACTAGGCAATCATTGTACTTTCTAGAGATGACTATTTTACTCTTAGAGAAATTTAGTGTTGTTGGTAGGGTATGCTCACACAAGAACTTTCTAGATTAGTGTGGATGAATACATAGTTGTTTCTTATAAGGGCAAAATGGGAAAATAAAGATTGAGTTTCGTGCCGTGCCAATTATTTGCAAACAACTTTGGTCAAAGTTGTCTAATTAAAAGAGAACTGAGGGAGTAAAGAATTCTAGCTCAGCCTAGGAAAGTAGAGCCAACAACATAAGTCAATGAGTCCATGTTGCTTTTGAGCCAACTAATTGAGCAACAAGTTTGGCATCTACTACAAAAGAGAGAATAACCATGTGAGAAGGGTATATCATTTAGTAGGAAGGGTATATCCTGGAATACCTCGCTTGACCTCTTTCAAATGATTGTCTTGGCTTGGCTTCGGTTTAGCTGGCACATTTATTAGGAGGAAGGGTTTCTTGGAGCTTTTCTTCATTGCTTGCTGGCACATTTGGAAACAGCGTAATGAAAAGATTTTTCAGCATATTGATCCTTCTTTGATGCCTGGTGGTCTGCCTTTCAGACATGAGATTCTCCTATATAACTATAGGATGAATGGCCCCTACGACAAATAGTTGTTGATTGGTTACTACTTTTGTAGTTCTTTGGTTTTTGTTTTTGCCTTTTATGTACATATTCCTATAAAACTTTTTTGTTCTCTGACATGGGGTAGTTCTTCCCCTAAAACAAACACTCAATTCACCGGTCTGACCTGTGGACCGGCTGGTTGAATCATGGTTCAATAGCGTATATATACATTGTATATTCTCTGTAGATCACAAGGGAAGAATGACAGGAATGGTAGGCTAAAGCTCAGAGTTCTCAGTGCACGGACCTGAGTTCAAGTCCCCATGCCACAACCTTTTCTAGGATTTTTATTAAAAAAACAGAAGGCATAAATTGGGCCTTGATGTGGCCCATTTATCTCTGCACGGTTCAACCGGGGCAGTTTAATGTCCAATTTAGCTTAAACTAGGCCGGTCCGCCCAGTCCAATCCAGCTCAAATGCATGTTCGGTCTTTGAGTGCAACCGTGGCGACCTTTTGTTCTGTTTTTTTAGGTCGACTTGTTGACCCGGTTCAGTTTTTTTACACTATGACGCCTGGAGATACAACTGCTGGGCTAAAATGGGTTGAGCAACTGTCGAGTTGGCCTGAGCAAAGGAAGGGCCCACACAACTCTGCCCATGTTTCTGGAAAGAGAATCATCGCTCCGATTCTTCTCTCTTCTAGGCTAGTTTGAGCAATTCCCAGGTCAGCTCATAACAATGTGATATCAGAGCTCGTCAATCCTAGAGAAGTCGTGATTCCGAACACGTATGCAGCAACAGGTCGAGGATATGGATTTTAGGAAAGTATTCCAAACACATAAGTGTGGGCCTTTCCTTGCTCGGCCCAACCCATCGGTTGCTTGACCCATTTCATCAGTTGACCCAAGAATTGTATTTCTAGGTGTATGTGGGTCCGCTATACGTGAGAGTGAAATCTAGATTTTGGAGGCACCGAGGCAGGGTGTGATATCAAGATTGTAATCCTACTCATGAGTAATACAATGAACATATCTTGATTGTTTTAAAAAAACCGACAAGGCTGTGATGTTCTTTTCACAAAAAGAAAGAAAGAAAAGAAGACGCCAATGTTGTGCTGGTCTTTTGGCCTGTAATGGCTCTTTATGGACGAGAACATTGTTATTAAGCTATTGTTGCTGGTGACTTGTCTAGAACACACTACACATACACTCTCCTCGGAAATTTCATTAGCCACAAGTGTTAGCACCTCCAACCTAATCCCATCCTGAAGGACCTAGAACTTGATTTTATCCATTATCTAAAAAGAAAGGACCTAGAACTTGCCTTCCCACAGAAAGGAATTACGAGGGTCTTGTCATGTTGCTAGCCGATGATAATATCTGCCAAATATTCTTGAAGTGCAGGAAGTTACCCTTGTAAGCATCGAAGAAACAGGATCCTAAGTGCCTCGCAAGCTTGTGCACAACATGACCCAATGGTTGGAATAGTGGCAAACACCGGACTAAAATTTAGTATAGACTAGTCCACTGGTTTGACATATGCTTGTTCTCAGTCTGACTATATTGGGGAGTAAAGGTTTTTTTTTTCATATTTCAACATTAGAAACTTTAAATTGTTGGTCTAGTACTCATACTTGGCTGTGTTCGCATATGTGGGTTGGGAACTCATTCCCTCCGCATGGAAAACGGAGTGGTCCATTAGCACGTGATTAATTAAGTATTAGCTATTTTTTTCAAAAATGGATTAATTTGATTTTTTTAAGCAACTTTCGTATAGAAACTTTTTACAAAAACATACCGTTTAGCAATTTGAAAAGCGTGCATGTGGAAAACGAGGGAGAAGGGTTGGGAAAAGGGGATGCCGAACACAGCCTTAAGTTTGTTGGTCGCACTGTACCCAAGCATGTGGAGCTTTGATTTCCTTCAGTCTGTACAATTTTGGGTGAGATATGCACAACAGCACAAGATAAATATAGCGTGTTCTAATATTTTAACTCACCCGCTAATTTACCCAGCTGCCAATATTTTTCATGATTGACGTAGCCTGTACAAATTCGATCCTTATTTTTTGTAATTTGTTATGGACTAGCTAGGGTAAGGGTTTGAATACAAGGTGCTCCGTGGGAACCATTAATGGCATCAGATGGACCTTTTTATACTGGAGTTTGAATGTTTGGGGAATAGACAAGAGACTTATGCATCATTTTATTGAGAAGGAAAGGGTCTGGTATAAATCCAAAAAATGAAAAACAAAACAACAAAGAAACTAGAAATGTCAAATGTGGTGGGTGGTGGTGAATAATGCTGCTTGCTAGCGGGAGATGCCTGCCCATTGGCTATCTCTCGCAAAATGATAGTGTGACCAAGAAAAGATAAAGCACTCTATGCCTTGAGCTGTGGGATCATCACTCCAGTCCAGCAGCACTTGATCCTTTTTTTCTCATTGCAGGCATTATATTCAATTTGCTAACGACTTTAACTGAGATCACTGATTTATGGTCCCCATTCTTTGACTAAAACTCATTTCTGCATTGTGCACTTGCTTGCTGTTTCAAGTATTATTCATATTTCTTGTGGATCTTCCATTCGATTATACTCTTGTTTATTCGGCTTCTTTGTTAAGGACAGGGAGCCAAGCACACTAGAGTAATATTCTGAATGCAGACTGGCTTTTGTGACCTTTGTCGGCCCCGGTTTTGGGTGCTTCTTCTTAGTTGCAATACCTCGGGGAAGTTCTTTCCCCTTGGGGCCAAGGTTTTTTTTTAATGCACAAGATATTTTATCTTTGTTGGTCTTTGACTGAGTGTTATTAATTTATTTCTGTGAAGTCATCCCTGCTGAAAATGGCCAGCAAGCATGGACATATCTAGAAGATATGCAAAACAGCATTGATCTTGTTTTGACAGAGGTTGTTATGCCTGGTGTATCTGGAATTTCTCTATTGAGTAGGATCATGAACCACAATATTTGCAAGAATATTCCAGTGATTAGTAAGTAGCTTTCCTCAACTCTACAGTACAATTCTTGTACAAAATGTTGCCCTTGTCATTTATTTACTTTCTATGCTTTTAGCTGCTACACTGTTGTGGTTTATGTGCAGTGATGTCTTCAAATGATGCTATGGGTACAGTTTTTAAGTGTTTGTCAAAGGGCGCTGTTGACTTCTTAGTCAAGCCCATACGTAAGAATGAACTTAAGAACCTATGGCAGCATGTGTGGAGACGGTGCCACAGCGTAAGTTGTTGTTGGTCCAGTTTTTCTTATATATTAGATGTTCAGGCAAATCCATCAAGTACTGACTGCTGCTTCACCATTTTATGGTTACAATATGTGATGACTCTAAACTAAAGTTGTTATTTTCAAATTCAGTCCAGTGGCAGTGGAAGTGAAAGTGGCATTCAGACACAAAAGTGTGCCAAATCAAAAAGTGGGGATGAATCCAATAATAACAATGGCAGCAATGACGATGATGACGACGATGGTGTAATCATGGGACTTAATGCAAGAGATGGCAGTGATAACGGCAGTGGCACTCAAGTATGAAACTTGATCTTTTTATTCCAACATAGCTTTACTACTACCTGTTAACAAAGCTGTAATTAGAATGAGAAGAAAAAACTGAAGTTAAAAACTGAATAAACCTGTCAGTAACAATGATTTCTGAAGGCATAAATGACATTTTTTTGCATAGCTGATAAATTTATTTTAGAATAGTGGGAAATAGGAAGAGTTCACCATGTCACTGTAAAGTTTTTGAATTAACCAAACCAGTAAAATACCATGGATCATCTGCATATAACAATCTTAATATTGTACAAACACAACAGATGAAACACATACTGAAGAAAATATAGTTATCGCCTCTCGGATAGTTTACATGTGTGTTCATGTGGCACTATCGTTTTGCTTAACTAATACCAAGGTGCCAAATAAACCAGCGGTTGGTTCATTGCATTTTGGAGCACATATAGTATTTATAAATCTTGATAGCGTGTGTGTAGAATGTTCCACCAGAAGTTGATAGCACTGTGCTTTTTGCATGTTCAAGGAATCAAATGGATTGTACAATACATGCAACCAAACTTTGATGTAGGGAATTTCTTTGTTTTGGCTTGGATGTCCAACTTATAGTTTCTCACCAGTTGGATTAACTTCTTTTCCTTGTTCTCCCATTGTAAACGTGAATTGAACAATCCTTGCCTTTTAAGATAAATGTGGGGTCTATGCTTTATGCTGCCCTTTAAATTTTTGAAATGCTAATAAGTAGTTTGCATGCATCGTGCTTCTCTAAATGTCATCAAGTTGACTAATATACAGTTCACTATCAATCAGCTAATACCACTTTATTTTATGTGTTTCCTATTATAAATTGAACATTTTGTTTCCTTACCAACTAGAAATCATAGTACAGATACATATTGTATAGTTATTTTCGGTTTATTCATGAATTTGTGTTAGAATTAGACTATATAGACATTGCTGGTTAAAAAGTACTCATCCCCTAACACTGTGGGAAGAGTACAAAACTACTAGTGTGTTAACACCATTGGCCTCTTGACATTCAAAACTGCTACCCAATGAACACATTCCCCATCAATGGTCCAATAATCCCGAAGTCTAAAGTCCTTAATCAACTCGTGCATAATTATTCACTTGGTAAGGAAATAGGAAAAGGATGGATGCACACAAATGTTTTGTCCATTTTTGCTAAGCCTCCAGTATTTTTACTTCTGTGTTTTGAGCTTCATAATGGTTTCCATGTCTTTTCTTCAATTAACGCTTTTGTCCTGTATTTTGATTTCTATTTGCACCATTTAATGAATCTTCCAAATTTGGGTTTTTCCTCTTGATGATTTTTAACTTCACATCTCAATTGATCTTTAAAATATGCCTAATTATTTAATACTACCTCCGTCCCAAAATATAGCAACCTAAGACTGGATAGGACATATCCTAGTCCAATGAATCTGGACAACCCTTGTCCAGATTCCTTGGACTAGGATATGTTCCATCCAATCCTAAATTGCTATATTTTGGGATGGAGAGAGTATCATCTAATTAATTACCTGCAAATCTGCAATGCTCTGCTTAAACATATTGTATATTTTCTATACTAATTTACTATACTTATTATCAAAATGAAACGTATATTAAAAATTAAATATCTGCTGCAATATGTGCCCTCAAAACTAGTATAAACATATTGTATATTTTCTTTTCAAAGTTACCTTTAATTTGGCGACATGTTTGGATTGATAAAATCAAGTCTAAGCTTGCAAATTTGGTTCTCCTGATGCTGTATGTTTGATTCCACTAAATAGATTCTCTTCAATGACCTAGGCAAGCTGTCGTAGTTTATCCCAAATGTGTTGAAAAGGTTGTTCTGGGTATCACCGTACAGATAGATTGATCCTGAAATTCGTATGCAGAGTAAACAAAATAGTCTTATCAACATAGATAATGCTAAACATCATATCATCAGCGCACTAGTGCAGGACTGCCTTGACATATAATGGTTGCCTGAAATGGCAATGAAATAAAAAATCTTTTATTTAAAAAGCAAGATTCAATTGTGAATTAGCAATAGTTGGAGAAATTTAGAGTTACAGGATATGGCACACGAGGTGTACTTGAGAACTGTCGGTTTGTAGCTAGAGATGGCTACGAATGCCGCCGGGGGGTACCTAGCTTATCGGCGGTGGATGAAAACTAGTGTAAACTTGAAATTAGTCCACGTTTCATGTGGATGAAATCTAGTGTAAACTTGAAATTAGTCCACGTTTATTATGAAACGTTGACTACAGACCCTACCGAGATAAACTGTATCTTATGTGTTGCTGTCAAGTTCTCTTTTATTACAGTGTTGTGGAGTGGGGTAAAATTTTTTTCCTGTCAGTTAGTTATGAATCACATAAGATTTTGCCACTGAAATGTTCAGTGACATGGCCGATATGTCAATGTAAGAAACAACTTAGAATAAATTCCACATTACAATATTCAGAAATAATTACTGTAGATCGGATCACTTTGTGAAGTGCATTTAAACTGGTTGCTCATCATTTTTTTAAGGCGCAGAGCTCATGGACAAAGCGCGCTGTTGAGATTGACAGTCCACAGGCTATGTCTCCAGATCAATTAGCTGATCCACCTGATAGCACTTGTGCACAAGTGATCCACCTGAAGTCAGATATATGCAGCAATAGATGGTTACCATGTACAAGCAACAAAAATTCCAAGAAACAAAAAGAAACTAATGGTATTGTATGCTCAACTGATTCATTGTGCAACTCGATAAAACAAAAGCTCCATAACACTGTATATTAATAAATTTCAACATGTTTTTTTTTCAGATGACTTCAAGGGGAAGGACTTGGAAATAGGTTCTCCTAGAAATTTAAACACAGCTTATCAATCCTCTCCGAATGAGAGATCCATCAAACCAACAGATAGACGGAATGAATATCCACTGCAAAACAATTCAAAGGAGGCAGCGATGGAAAATCTGGAGGAGTCAAGTGTTCGAGCTGCTGACTTAATTGGTTCGATGGCCAAAAACATGGATGCACAACAGGCAGCAAGAGCCGCAAATGCCCCTAATTGCTCCTCCAAAGTGCCAGAAGGGAAAGATAAGAACCGTGATAATATTATGCCATCACTTGAATTAAGTTTGAAAAGGTCAAGATCGACTGGGGATGGTGCAAACGCAATCCAAGAGGAACAACGGAATGTTTTGAGACGATCAGATCTCTCGGCATTTACGAGGTGCAAAACATAATATCAGTGTCGCTAGTGAGTTAGGAAACCATTGTTAAGTTGCATACTAACTGTTACTTTTGTTGCAAGGTACCATACACCTGTGGCTTCCAATCAAGGTGGGACAGGATTCATGGGAAGCTGTTCGCTGCATGATAATAGCTCAGAGGCTATGAAAACGGATTCTGCTTACAACATGAAGTCAAACTCAGATGCTGCACCAATAAAACAAGGTTCTAATGGTAGTAGCAATAACAATGACATGGGTTCCACTACAAAGAACGTTGTGACAAAGCCTAGTACAAATAAGGAGAGAGTAATGTCACCCTCAGCTGTTAAGGCTAATGGACACACATCAGCATTTCATCCTGCACAGCACTGGACGTCTCCAGCTAATACAACAGGAAAAGAAAAGACTGATGAAGTGGCTAACAATGCAGCAAAGAGGGCTCAGCCTGGTGAAGTACAGAGCAACCTCGTACAACACCCTCGCCCAATACTTCATTATGTTCATTTCGATGTGTCACGTGAGAATGGTGGATCCGGGGCCCCTCAATGTGGTTCATCCAATGTATTTGATCCTCCTGTCGAAGGTCATGCTGCCAACTATGGTGTCAATGGAAGCAACTCAGGCAGTAACAATGGAAGCAATGGGCAGAATGGGAGTACGACTGCTGTAAATGCTGAACGGCCAAATATGGAGATCGCTAATGGCACCATCAACAAAAGTGGACCTGGAGGTGGCAATGGAAGTGGAAGCGGCAGTGGCAATGACATGTATCTGAAACGCTTCACTCAACGAGAGCATAGAGTGGCTGCAGTGATCAAGTTTAGACAGAAAAGGAAAGAGCGCAACTTCGGAAAAAAGGTAGCCTGTTTTCAATTGCATGTTTTCTGTTCCTTTGGTTTTAGCATTCCTGTTTAACTCGTCTAAATTAGCTAAAGAACATGTTACTGGAAGTAGTTGTCAAAAGCATATTACTGGAAGTTTCTCCCAAACGACTAGCTAAATGGGATCGGGCATGAATATAATTTGTTTATATACTAGTATTATCTGATTTCTAAAAGGAATCTCACAAGATAATCTTCCAAAAAGTTGCACGTTTTTGGTCCCATAGCCGTGTTGCTGAAATTTCTTGCCAATGACATTTCTTGGATTTTTCTCATAATTTAATGGTAGCTACTTAGAGCGGCAATTCAATTTTACTCTTGAAACACTGTCCTTTACTTTTCGGCGCGGGTGAGTACAATTTGGATAGGAGGCTCTTTTTATATATAGAGAAACATACATACATACATACATATATATATATATATATATATATATATATATGATGTGCTTGATTAAGCTTTGGATAGGATCGGTTTCTTTCTGATGGCTGTCTGCCATTTTCAGGTGCGGTACCAGAGCAGAAAGAGGCTGGCCGAGCAGCGGCCAAGGGTCCGCGGACAGTTCGTGCGGCAAGCTGTGCAAGACCAACAACAGCAGGGTGGTGGGCGCGAAGCGGCAGCGGACAGATGACCTACCTACCTACCTACGCGATGGCTTTGGACTCCAAACAGCTAATTAACAGTTAGTAGACAACAGATAATGATTCTTCTTCCTTGGCCGATCGATCAACAACATCCCATGCATCCGGCATCCCACCACCATTGATTCCATCATATTTAGAGTCTGGAATAAATAAGGAACTCCTATCCTATTTATCCCCTATCTATATATGAAGATATGATAATGGTGATCTGCGTTACTACTAGTAGAAGAATATGGTGTGGCTGACTCCACTTCAGGTGGACCTATAATACTACTCCAGTAGTATGTGCCTGTGGAGTCAAGCTCGAACGTACTACTCCATATTTAAGCATGTCATGTACTGCTACTATGAGACGAGAGTGCTCTGCCCTGTAGGGACAGCACTATTGTCAATGTCATGTGTTTGTTGGGTCACTGGTCTTCTTAGATTTGCGTCCATGTCTGGCAGCAGCACTCCACTGTAGTTGGCTCACGCATGTTGTTGAAATGAGCCACATGCCTTGCCTTGAGATAGAACTTGCTGTCACTGTTTCTCCTTAATCTAAATATACTGGAGTGGAGTATTTTATTATCTATGATCTGTAATCAGGTGATTGACAAGGCTCGTCAAATTTCTATGCCTTTGGTAGGAGAGTATCACGTACTTTTTTTTACGACTCGTACGAGACGGTAAAAAGAAATACAAAAGGTTGTAACTAATAAAAAAACGAAAAATTACACCACCATCCACACACCGACGGCGCCAACACATAGGTTCGGAAGAAGTCTAGCACCGGACCGGCTGTCGCTAAGCGTGATCGACCGCTGCTGAGCCAACAACGGAACATAGACGAGATCGCCGAAAAAACACCCTTACAACCAACACAAGGCCTAACTCTACCCACGTCTTTTAGATTTAGGGAGAGAAGGTGAGAGAGATGAAACACCCCTCCCCCCTAGGCCCTTCGACGTGGTCAACTTGTAGAAACTAGGATGCCATCATAAGAGAATGAGAATTTAGAGCGTGCTTGCACCAATTGCACACGTGTTTTCAGCAAGAGAATGCTTAGATGACATCTCCAAGGAGAGAAGCGACGGAAAACCGCCGCCGCCGTCCGTCAAGGTCTCAAAAAGAGCAAAGACAGGGCTTTCGCCCTTCAACCATCCTTGAGGGGTGAGATGGCACGACAACACCCTCAGGAGGGGGAATGACACTCGAGCGCCATCATTGTCGGTCCGGCCAAGGCTAGGTTGGGTTTTCACCCACCGCTCACCACCTACGAGTCCATGGCTGACGTACCGATGCTCCACCACTGCCCAATCTCTACTGACATGTGGGACCAATGCCCCGGCGCCTCCCGCCGGCCAACCTTTGTGCAATGTAGACCGTGCCACATCCACCGGTAGCTCTTCCTTGCACCGTGGTCGCGTCCTCCACCGCCGGCCGCGTATCACGTATTGATTGTATCTTATCTAGTACTACTGGATTATAGTAGTATTATGGGACGGAGGGAGAGTATCCTGTTTACGGTAGGTTTTGTCCGGCTGCAAAGAAAACGGAAAGCTCCTTTATTACGACCGAGATGGCCATTCTCTAGAACAATCGTGGACCGACCTACTTTCTCCGCTGGATGACACCCGTGCTTCTTTCCTCAACTGTCCGTGTGATCGCCTTTCTTTTCTTTTTCGTGTCTCGGTTCGATCTGGTGCTGAATTTCTTTGTGGACTTTACGCTAGAAAAGAGAAGTAAGCTTGGACAGCTCCTAGAATCATTTTTTTATTTTCTACTGATTTTATAGCTGTAGATTCTTAAAGTCTGAGGAGAATGTAAAATGTTTGAGGAACTTGGAGACTTTAAAGGCTGTACCAAACATGCTATAGTATTTGTGAAAGAAAAACGTCACTAATTATCTCCATTTTAAAAGCTCCTCAAACAGTCACTCATCTTATTTACCGACAGCAAAGTGGTAATGGTACTGGTATCCTCGAGGCCTTGTATATTGCTTTTGCATTAAAGGATCCTCTCAATCTAAATACAGTCTTTTTTTTTCTGAAATTTACTACGTCATCCAACAAGAAAAGTAAAGAAAAAACACATTACATGTAAATTGGAGCATACTGTATTGTTTTTCATAGGAAAGGGCTAGAAAGATGGATGAATTTGGTAAACTTTCAGTGAAAAACTAAGCTCTCTATCTTTCTAATTTAAAGTTGTGGTAGAATATCTATCTTTGTAATTTAAAGTTGTGGTAGAAAGGTACTAGGATGGAGGAACTAGCGGCTGAATGTATGTTCTGGAAGCGAAAGGAAGGGGAGAGATTTTGAGTAGCTCAAAAATATGGAGTATTTTCTTCACCTTCTTCCCCACGCGGAAGCGGAAGCTGAAGCGCACACAATTACAATTACAGGGCGACTACTCTCTCCTCTCTGCTCCCTGCTCCCTGCTCCCTGCTCTCTCTAGAGAGAGAATAGAGAGAGAGAGAGAAGCCATCAGCCATGGCGTGCTGCTTCGCCTGCCTGGGCGCTGGCGGCGGGAAGATGAAGAAGAAGAAGAAGTCGCCGCCTCAGATCCCACCGGCCTCAGGTGATCCGTACCTGCCCCTCGGTCGCTTCTTTCTTTCTTTCTTTCTCGCAGAGAGCGTATTGCCTTAACCTGGTTAGGTTGGGTGGTGATTAGCTAGAAATTTTAAAAAAAAAGAACGGGAAGTCGTCAATTGTTCCTTCCTGTTGAAAAGATTTTAATCTGCTTCCAACCAATAGAGAAATTTCGTATGAATGAATATATAATTAAGCAGGGTTTGGGTTTTTCTGACACAAGGTGAGGTTTGTTTGTTTCTCCAGAAAGAGATAACCCACCAAACCTGGCCTCATCGACAGTGATGAAGCAGGATCAGGATTCGTTTCAATTAGCTGCTAACGAGGACATCCTTGTGAGCAATGGATCATCCGAGAACCGCCGCATTGCAGCTCGGACCTTCACCTTTAGGGAGCTCGCTGCGGCCACAAGCAACTTCAGGGTCGATTGCCTGCTCGGTGAGGGCGGTTTTGGAAGAGTGTACAAAGGCTATTTGGAGACTGTCGACCAGGCTAGTAACTTATACTCCGCTTCTTGCTACCATACTGCAAATTTCTGTTTAATCAAACTAGAATCTCTGCAACTGACTGTATGAGAAGAAATGAAATGCTCCATATACTAAATTATTTCCTTCAGCTTCCATGGAGCAGTTCCATCCATTATTAACATGAATTAATGCGCTTTATAACCATCATAGGTTGTCGCAATAAAGCAGCTCGATCGCAACGGACTGCAAGGCAACAGGGAGTTTCTTGTTGAAGTTCTTATGCTCAGCATGCTGCACCACCCAAATCTTGTTAACCTTATTGGATATTGTGCCGATGGTGATCAGAGGCTTTTAGTTTATGAGTATATGCCATTAGGTTCTTTGGAAGACCATCTTCACGGTATGCCACTGAAAAACCTTAATTGGATCACTGCTTGCTTTGCTACTGGATGATTCATGATGTGTGTGCTCACAACTAGATTTTGTTTTACCCAGATCCTCCACCAGGCAAGTCACGGCTTGATTGGAATACAAGGATGAAGATAGCTGCTGGTGCAGCGAAGGGTTTGGAATATTTGCATGACAAAGCCAATCCTCCAGTCATATACCGAGATTTGAAGTGTTCAAATATCTTGCTTGGGGAGGGATATCACCCAAAATTGTCTGACTTTGGATTGGCAAAGCTCGGCCCAATTGGCGATAAATCCCATGTTTCCACTAGAGTGATGGGTACATATGGATACTGTGCTCCTGAGTATGCTATGACTGGCCAGCTGACTCTCAAGTCAGATGTTTATAGTTTTGGTGTTGTTCTGTTGGAGATCATTACAGGACGAAGAGCTATCGACAACACCCGAGCAGCAGGGGAGCAAAATCTTGTTGCATGGGTAAGGCGGCAAGCTTCTTCTTTATAGCGGCAACTGGCAAGCTTCTCTTCTAAATAGTGTTGCTAAAAAACCTAAATGAAATATGCCAGTATCAATCTGAATAGGTTCTAGTATGGTTGATTGGTTGTTTATCCAAAGGAGTAATCTGTTTCCATCCATTCATATTTGGTGGTGTACAATTTCAGGCCCGGCCCTTGTTCAAGGACAGGAGGAAGTTCCCCCAGATGGCAGATCCAGCGCTTCATGGTCAGTATCCATCGAGAGGATTGTACCAGGCCTTGGCTGTTGCTGCGATGTGTGTCCAAGAGCAACCGACCATGAGACCCCTGATCGGGGATGTTGTTACAGCTCTCGCTTACCTTGCCTCCCAGACTTATGATCCAGAGGCACATGGCGTCCATCACACGTCACGTTTGATGTCTCCCGGCACACAAGGTGTATGAGGGATGCAGACTTAGGCTGAGGAGGTGCTGTAGAACAGAAAGCAGGAATTAAGGCTTCAGAAAGCCTAGAATATTTTTTGCTAGATATGGTACCTGAGGAGATGTTGCTGACAGTCCATGGAGATGACCAGCCCAGAGATTTTGTTCATAGCAAGAGAAAGAGAATCATAGAGAGAAATGAGATGGTTCCTGGTTTCTGCAACATGGAATGGTGATAGATTGATTTGTTTTCTCATGATAGGGATGGCTGCTGTTGTTGTACATGTGAATTTCTTTCTCGAGTCTGTATTTACATCAGTGTAGGAGTAGCCTGTAGCGTAGTACATTTGGGTTCAAGGAATTTTTGTCATCTCTTTGTTCCCTGTGGGTGTGAGTTTCGGTTGCGTGCTGGAGGGTTGTCAGCTGCAGTTTCAGTTGCCTGGTGATGTTATTGCGTATGCCTCAGACAGTATGCCATCACTTACTATTGATGCGGTTTCTTATCATGCACCATCATCTTCTGATATATGCTAATGTCTCTGCATCTAGGGCCCTTCATCTGAAAACAGACTAGGGGCATGAATGCATTCTAATTTCCATAATCACCACATCATCTTGCATAAATATTCGACAGGCCCAAGACACCACTAGTAATTAATATACAGGGCCTCTTTTTGAGTAGTCAATGTAATGAACAAATTAATGAAATAGCTAGGTTGCATACAGATCGCTAAAATGACAAGCGTGATGCGTGCATCAGATGGCCGGAGCTAGCTCTCCATGGAACTCCCTCAAAATTAAAACTCATGTTCTACTCTCAGAAACCATAATTTTAACACTAGAGACTACCCTTGTGTACAATATATCAAATGCCAATAAGTTTTGCCTCCAAAATAATAGCAAATCTATGGTAACAAGCATGTGTTCCCATCTAATAAGCTGGGTGACACCACGAGATTCGACCGCCTGTGGTCCAGCTCCAAGCGAACCCAAGTATATGAATGGTTACTAGTTACTCCCTCCGTCCCAAAAAAAAGACAAACCCTGGGTTTCCGTGTCCAATTTTGACTATCTGTCTTATATAAATTTTTTTTATAATTCGTATTTTCATTGTTGTTAGATGATAAAACATGATTAATATTTTATGCGCGACTTGTCTTTTTATTTTTTTTTTCATAATTTTTTCAAATAAGACGGACGGTCAAACGGGTACGGAACCAGGGTTTGTCTTTTTTTGGAACAGAGGGAGTACATGTATTCTACAGTGTCTGCCAACTGCAAGCAAAGACAGACAAGTTAGCTACTGAAATGAGCCCAGGATATATATTAACACAAGTGCTCACCGCCAAAAAAGAAGAAAAAAAAAAAGAAGTATGCGCACCTCACAGATCGCTGAACTGTTTCTGCAACGTAGGATTTATGCAGGCAAATATTGATTTCTTCTTCGGCTTTGTGCCGAATAGGAAGTTCCGCAATGGCACTCTTGTTCTAGTCGGGAAGTGTTTGAATTGGCTGTGGTAGCTGGTGCTGCTGCTTTCTTCCTCCACCAAAGATGACCTCCTGCATGAAAGATCAAAGCTCTCACGCAGCTTCTGCAAGCCGTCATTGACCTTGCCTTCAAGTTCTCTCATGCGCTTCAGTGCTGACTGTAACTCCCTCTCGATCTTACCACTAGACTGTTGCATGTTCAGTACCTCCCCTTGAAACTTGGCTGCTTCGTATGGTGTAAACCTACCACCATCAGTCTCTGCGCTAGCACGCAAGGCTTCAGCTATCTCCTCCTGCAATCTGCAAAGAGACATGGTTTTGAGCTGCAGGTCTTGATCAAGAAGTGCATTCTGTTCAAACCATACATCCAGTTCAGTTCTTAGCTCTCTCAACTTCTTTTCAGCAGGATCAGACTCGGCTGCAGCATCAGGTTCTCCTGTCTTCTTAACTTCAAAATCCCCCATTCCCTTTTGTAGCTCCTGATATTTGCTGTCAAAGTCCTGCATGCGGTGGCAAGCCATGCTAAACCTTACCAAGAACTGCAAGTTTTCCTCAACCAGAGCATCAATCTCAGATCTGAACTTCACTTCGAAAGGTGAAGTATTCTTCCGTACACCAGTGTGTCTTACATCGATTCCCTCCAGCACAGAAATTTCTGTGTCCAAAGGATGATTTGATCTGTTAAAACCCATTTTACTATGTGTGGATGATATATCTTCTGAAGGATCCAGGAGATCTCTTAGGGACTGGATCTCAACATATTTCATGGAATTTGCATTCCTCAACTCCCTTATTACTGTCTTTGTCTCTTTGGGATGTTGCTCATTTTTCTTTTCCAATTCAGCAAGCCTTCTCTTTGTTTCTTTATAGTTCCGGAGAATTAAAGTGTAGTCGTCTAGCAATAATGCTTCTCTACCTTCAATGCCATCAAGGAGAAACTCCTGCCAGCTAGGTGCATCTCTTTCTGCAACCAAACTAGAATTGACGCGCAAGCTCATGCTTCCAGGCTTGCTCAAGGTACTTGCTTGTCTTGTATGTTCTCTGCCATCCGAACTTCTCATCTCTAGCTCACCATGAGGAATGCAACTAGCAATATTGTTTGATTTTGTTGTTACTTTGGGTACTTGCTGATACACTCTTGACGAATGTGCATCCACAAGTTCACTAGTCTTCAAATCCTGTATGCTGTTCATATGCTCTAATGAAGTGCGGCCACCTTTCTCAGATGAGTCAACTTTGCTGCCTCCGTTCAAACTTTTCATAGTTTCTGGGGCAATCAGCTGACCATCTTGTTTTGGCCATTCTTCAACAGATATTGCTTCTTCAGTATGACATAATTCCAGTCTCATATCTGCATCACTGAAACAACTATTAGAAACTTTGGGTAATGAGATTTCTTCAGTGGTGCTTCCATCACTCAAACTATGTTGGTTTGTAGAACCAACCAAATTAACATATCCAGGTGTTTTTAGTGATTTGTCATCTCTGAGTTCTTCCTGGATCAAGCTGTTCCCAGACATAGAATTTTCATCGCCACCAATCCTTAAGCCTTGTATTCTCTTGCTGCCTCCGAATGAATTCACAGTAACAACCACTGATGACCCTTTCTCATCGGAGTCACTTTTATTGGTTAAAGTATCTAAACATTCTGAGTGTGGGAGGTGAGTCTGACTTATTACCGTTGGTGGATGTTCACCTTTCAAACTTTCCCCTTGAACAGAGTTGTCAATAACATCATTTCCTATGTCTCTATATTTCTTCGTATTACCTGATGGGCTGCAATCTATTTTGCCTTCACATGCGTTGTTAAAACCATTTTCTTTGCCTGGAATAACAATTCGATCAATGTTATTGCTAGCTTGTATTGACCTTTTATCCATCAAGTCTTCTTGGATTAAGCGATTTTCACTTTGAAAGTTTTCCTCGTTGCCATTCTTACAGTCATCAATGCCATCAGTACCATCTAGTGAATCATGACCCTCAACTCCTGAGGCATCTTCTTTTCTACACCTGTCTCTGCCCAAATTATCATCTGTAGTTGCTTCCTCTGTACCCCTGAATTCTTCTTCTGGCAGTGAGGTGCTGATATCATCTGATGTTATTTCCCCATCATTTTCAACTGCAGCTGATAAACTAGTCATGTCCTCTGGATCAATAGATCCAAAGGCCTTTGAGATATTAGTGATGCAACTAACAACTTCAGAAAAGACTGTGCTAACAAGAACTTCTTCCTCAATAACAGATCTTTCAAGAGCCTTGACTCTGTTCAACTCATCTTCTGCTAACTTGAGCTGTTCACTTAAGTCACTTGGATCATCTCGAAGTGCTATCTCATCTTGTAGATCATCCAACCTATCTTTGAGGCTATCATTATCTTCCTTCAGCTGCTTGATTTGAGCGGACTGCTTTGGGAATTTGAGCTCCAAGTTCATGACCTTATCAACAAGCTCATCAACTCTCTCTGCCATCTCCTGCACAACAGATTCAGAGTTGAGCTCAAAAAACTTTTCGATTTTTTCATATATAGGTTGCAGCTCCAGTATTTCCTGAGTATTAGGATAAACTCTATTTTTCACTGCGATGTTTGTTGTGCCAACTTCTCCCTTAGACGGGTCAATGATGTAGTTCATAGCATACAGTTTTTGTCGGAGATAATTTACTTTTTCGGACTCCCCTGCTGCAACCCTGACTAACTCTTCAAATATTTTCACAAGATTAGCTACTGTGCCTTGACAAGATCTAAGAGCTGTAATGGTCATCAGGGCACGGGCTTCATCATCCTCGATGGACGCATGTGCATCAAACTCATTTTGGATGTGGCATACCTGGTCCTGCATATCTGCAATCTGCTTCTCGATCTCCCGATACTTGGTAATCCCAGTCTCGTAAGAGCTCTTAACGAATTCTTTCTCGGTTTGCAGGACAAGTATAGCCTTTTGAAGTGTGTCGATCTCTTGTTGCGCATTCTGTTTGGTGAAGTGAGGAGCACAGGGGCGCGCATGTCCTTTTGGGTTCAAAACCTCCTGTACAGTAGTAGTGGATTCCTGTATTCTGATGGGTGTGAATTCAGCATCGTCTTGTTCTTGTAACAAGGAGACGTCGTGTTGTGGGCATGCAGTAGCAATGGTGTGGTTGGCCTTATGCAGCTCCTTGGATAAGTGGTCGTAGCGTTCAACGAGAGCTCTGTAGGCCCTGTAAACCTCTTCCACATGGTTAATCACCTCTGGCCTCCTGCGGTAGTACATCTCGGCTCTCTTGCCGAACGTATCGGCTTCCTCTCCCAGGAGCTTGAGCATGATCTTGACTCTGGTTTCCATCTCTGCGTGCGCCAAAATAATAGTACTCTCATCTAGTGTAGTGACTACAAAGGGGGATCACATCACATCCCTAACAAGTAGTAAGACTAAGAAAGGGGGATCGAAGCGGAAACAAACCTTGGAGATTGGCGTCGAGCCATTTGGACTGCGTGGTGCGGATGTGGCTCGCCCACCACCACGAGTAGGCATTGCTTGCCGCCCGCTGCAGCATCCGCCGCAACCACAGCGCGACGCCGACGAGGATCGATCTATGGCTGCCTGCTACTGCTACTGCTAGTGCTACACGGATAGATAGATAGATCGAGATCGCCTTCGATTTCTTTGACCCAACTTGCTTTCTTTACAACTACTATACTACTAGTACGGTGGAGTAGTATATAATCGGAGTTCTTCTTGGCATAATCAAAGCTGAAATCGAACACATCTCATCTCTCAAGAAAATAAAGGAAAAGGAAGGGAGGATCATCTCAAAAGAGAGGGGAAAGAAACGAAGAAAGAAGGAAAAGGAAAAGGTAGTAACGCAAAGAGAGGGGAGACGCACGCGACGCGACGCAACGCGCACGTCGGTCCCAATGCCAAAGCCCAGTCAATTAATTAGTCAATCGCATCAGTCCGCAGCCCACGTCAACGCGGCGCGGCCTTCCCATCTCCACGGCCCTTTCGACGTTGACGTTGTCTGGTCGGTTCCGTTTGAGGACCTGACGGCGACGCGACGCGTTCATCGGTTCCTCCACGGTATGGCCATGGGCCAGCAGCCCAGCGCTAAACAGGAATTTATCCTCTTTGTTTGTTCTCCCTCCATTGACTTACATGAAACGAAGGAAGTAGAACTTATCTTTTTTACTTGTGCTGGTACTTATCGATGAATTTTCAACTTTAAATTTGTAACTCATTTTGAGATTTTTTTAATCAAAATTTATTTTCCAACATTTGCTTTTAGATGGTTAAGAACACGTATATAAAAATTTTATTCATAAATCATTTCTCGTTTGTAAATATGCAGTTTCACCATCCCACGAATAAGCGAAACGATGGGAATACCATCTCTCCAACCGAGTTTAGCCTCCATTGAAAATATATTCTCTCGAAATAAACTATAGAGGTGAAACCGGGTTTAGCCTGCGTTCTTTAGTCTACTTTTCCAATTTCACATTCCTCATTTTTACACGCACACTTCCCCAACTACTCAACAGTGTGTTTTTTTTTAAAAAAAATCTATAGAAAAGTTGTTTTAAAAAAAATCATATTATTTCATTTTCCAAGTTTTATAGCAAATACTTAACTAAACATGCGCTAAACTGTCACTTCGTTTTGTGTGCAACGAGGGAAGTGCTCCCAACTATAACTGGAGAACACAGATTGCTCCACAACTCTGCTCCGGATCCTGATTTAGTGGTTAGAGCACTATCAAACAAACCCTAAATGAGGAGCCAATACCATATTCCAACTGATGATTTTAACCATGCCAATCCTATGGGTGCAAACGAGTGTTACTTGGTGGTACTGCATCTCCTTGGTATTTGATGGTGGGAGAAAATTGACATTGTGCCATTTTTGATATGGGATTTCACTAAAATGGTAATTTGAAATATGGTCTCGTTGAAATGACACTATCAAAGGAGACCAACTTGACATGCCATTTTCTCTATTTTCAACAATTTCTTTCTTTGTTGGCAGTTTGGCACATGCACACTGGCCTTTATGCCCATGGCATATTCCTTTACAAGCCTGAGAAAGCGGATAGATCCTCTCCTCTCTCCATGAACTCGATCTCGTCGCCACCGCGCGTCACCCAGCACATGCACCACCTTCTCCCACCGTTGCCGCAAGCGCAACCACACATCGATCTAGGAACCGATTAGCGAGCCTTAGGGCCTTATTGACGCAGATGTCGCCGCCCATGCCGCATCAGGTACCCCGTTGCAGCCCATCGCCTCGGCCACCGGCGACGGCACATTCACTCCATGCTTGTACCACGTGCACCATCGATATCGACGGACGACGCCGAGAGGCGGGACATGAAGAAGATCCTTCGACATGGTTGAGCTCATCGACACGGGGTGAACGGGTAGCTGATGTCGACCGTGGCAAAGTCGAGATCGGTGACGTTGGATGACCAAGCTGCCTTGGGGCACCCTGAGAGGGAGCGCCAACGCTGGTGGCACCCCATCCCCTGTTGTTACAGCCAACCGTGCAACGACATAATGAGCTTGGCCCCTTCCCAGGCGATGGCTAATCGGGAGGAGCGTGAGGTCTTGTCTCGGTCGGCGGCTGTGGCCCGCCACGACCACCACTACCGACCACACGGGTTTTTTGGTCAGGTCAACATGGAAAATGTCGACGGGTGATACCCGTAGACCGGATATAGAGGATATTGGGGTACGCTGGTACAAGGATCTACGTAATACGACATCAAGCGGACAGAAAACAAAAATTATACTGGTTCAGGCCCCTTGATAGGTAATAGCCCTAATCCAGTTGATATGGGATTATATGATAAAAATCACAGGTTACAAAGGGAATGATGGAACTCGATGATACCGGCGAGATCGTAATCGAGTTGGTTCGACTAGATCTCCCGGCGACTTGGCTCCAGTGGGCTTCGACTTCGTAGGCTGTGGTGGTTGTGTTGGCTATATGATTCGATCCCTTAAGTCCTCTCGGGGGTCCCTTTTATATCGCAGGTCAGGCGGTTCCCAGGTAGGACTTGAAGACATCGGACCCTGCACGATACATTGATGACCCAGTCCTGTCCGAGTAGGACTCTTTCCATCTACAAACTCCGTGAAGGATTCCCTTAATGTATACAGAGAACGTCCATAAACGCGCAAGCATGCCATATCGATATGTGACGTATATCGAAGGGTAAAGGGTATGCCTTACCCGTAACCCTGACAGTAGCCCCCGACTTCTGCTTAAATGAACTCGTGTAACCGATTGCGACTTCTGGTGTCGAGGCTGTTGTCATTCTCGGTGCGAAGACCGTAGAGACAAGACGTAATCGACAACACTATGTGAAGCCCAACGGTCATGAGTGAGTTTAAACTGAAGTCCGAAAAACTGTCACGCGTAACGGACCCAGAAATTTCCGGCGGGCATCCCTCTTTCCTTTCCTTGGAATTCGCACCGTCGGAAATGAGTCTATTTAAGAGGATTTTGGGGACCCATTTTGAAGTCTGCCTGTTTATGAAGAAAAACTCTCCAGCCTCTAAGCATTCCTCGTCTTCTCCGCTCGCACATAAACCCTAGCTTGTTCATCCCGGTCCTTTCTCCTGTGATCTCCGACGGCGATGGACCTCGACAAGTCCACTTCAACCAGTGCGTCGCTGAAGAAGTTGCAGGAGGAGGGCGCCCTCCCCGGTTGCGGGACCATGAAGAGGGAACCGGGAGGTACTGAACCTGAACCTATCCTAGGCCGCATGGTTGCGGTAGAGGATTATATTCTTTGTGGCTTTCTCCCTCCGCCTTCTGAGTTTCTCCTCCTCGTTTTGAATTTCTATGGTCTTTCTTTGCTCCATCTGAACCCCAACTCCATCGCCTTCCTCAGTATCTTTTCACATCTCTGTGAGGCCTACATTGGGGTAGAGCCGTTTCTCGATCTCTTTCATTTTTACTACGAGTTGCATTGGATGGAATCCACCAGGGTATCTGGATGTGTTGGGTTCCGACTTCGGGATGGCCTGAAGTCGCGCTATATCCCCTTCCAGTGCCCCTCTTCTCATAGCAAGTGGCGAGCAAGATGGTTCTATCTTCAGATAGAGAATTCGGATCCGATCTTTGCTGTTCCTGAGGAACAGCCAGATAAGGTTCCGTCTTGGACCGCCAAACCCTCCTTGACCCCCTCTCTTTAGTCCTTCATCGATGCCATCGATGACCTACGAGTACGGGGCTTGTCGGGGTATGAAGTCGCTGCTGACTTCATTGGTAGGCGGATCCAGCCACTCCAGGCTCGAGCCCACCCAGCCTTTGACTACTCTGGGCCGGAGGACACGACCCGGGTTTCTCCTCGGGGTATTTTTCTTGTGTTTGATTTGGTTCCCTTATGTGCATGTTCCTCCTGTCTTACCGAATTTTGGTTCTCAGTCTACAGGTTTGAACAGCGAGACTGTGGGACATCGTGTCGGTCAGCTGATGATCAGCGGCCCGTCAACAGCGAGTGACGTCCCTGTCCCCCTTTGCGAGAAGGGGAAGGCTGAGTGTGAAGCCGCAATCAACGTGAGTGTACTTATCGATCCTTTTGTTTTTGTTCCTAGATCGCATAACGATTTCATGTGATGCAGGCTCTCCCTCTGACCGACGTCATTGGACCACTCGTGGACCACCAGGCGGCGGATTCGTTGAAGGAGGGCGTCGCCCAGGAGACGTCCGACACGGCCGTGGCTACTGTTGCCACGACTAGTGGGAGCCACGTCCCGAAGAAGGGGAGAAAATTCACCTCCGTGCTCTGCAGCCGCCGGAAAGCGCCCTCCCCATCGGTAAGTCTCTTGAGTTGTTGACTTTGTAGTCGGAAGACTTCTTCCTCACATCATTTCCCTTATACTCCAGGCCTAGGACGCGTCTCCCCCGCCTCCGCGACGGCAGCGGCTAGTGACGCTTGGCGAGAAGTAAGTGGATGACTCTGAGGCTTCGTCACTTCGTCAAGCTGTTGCCGCCTGTCTCAGTTGCAGCTTTTCGCAGGGCGGCGCGGACGAAGGCGGCACAAGACGGGCCTAGTGGGACCTCCAGCGCGTCTCCTGTTGTGGCCTCGACGGATGTCGTGGTCATGCCCAGGAGCCGCGAGGCGACACCTAGCGGCCCAGCCAGCGATCTCGTGGCTAGTCGTGGCCCGCCGGCTGCCGTCCTCACCTGGGAGGAGCTCCAGGTTGAGATGGGGTGCCTCCTCGAGGCTGGTGCTCGCGGCATTAGCCGCGAGGTTGCGGAGGCGAGGGCGGCAGCGGCGTCGTCGGCAAACAAGCGTGCTGACAAGCTGGCGGAGGCTCGTGGCGGAGGCTTTTTGAAGAGTAGGATCTTAGTTCCCTTGTACTCTTTAACCGGTCATGCCTTGTAAAACTTTGTTGGCCTCAACTGCCTTTGCGTGTGCAGTCATCACCCTAGTTTTCTTCAGCATTTTGATCCCGAGTACTTTGTTGTCATTTGTAGAGATCTCGATGTCGAGGATGTCCAGCAGCGTGGGCAGCCTGAGTTGCCAGTGATCATCCCAGCACTTGCGTTTGAGCCACATGTGTCGCCGGACAATGTAGATCAGAATTTACCCGTGGAAACAGGGATGGCGACGACTTCCCTAGGTTGGTGGTCTTTTCATCTCCTCTGCTCCTCTGACTTGATTTGTTGTGTTCTCGAAAGAGAAGAGCAGCTTGACTTAGTCGTTTCCATGCTGAACAGATCTTGAGAGTGCGCTTGCTGACCAGGATCGTCATATCCAATATTGGAAGACGAAATTTGAGGTAGCGGAACTCGAGAGAACTATGCTGGAAGTAAAGAAGGAGCAGGCTGTGGAAACACTCCGAGGTCGTGAGGTGTGGTTCAACTCGTACTTGAAGAGTTGTTGCACGTCCATGGCCAGAGTTTGTAGAGAGCTCCGAGTACC